AACATTTTATCTGATTCATTCAACCATCCTACTTTGCATAGCCAAGGGCACGCGCATATACACACACGCTTGTTACCTACGACAATGCGCATGCTTATTTTTGTTATTTGAATTAGTTGGTTGGACATTGGTCATAGACCTGAAATTCGAGGTCCTTGTCTATACATTCCAGGTTTGTATTCAACACAAACGAGTTTCCCCCATGCGTTGAAGCTTTGCGCCTTACCTATCGTAGCGGTTTTCCTAAGGGACAGTGGCGCCACAAGGGCCGAACGACTTATACTTCAACCGTTTAATATCGTGAAGGAGATTTCCTTCACGATACCTCATCTCTGACACTTGAATGTCGTGCGCAACGCTTAAGTCTGCAGAGGGTCGAACAATTGTGGGTAACACGTGAAGCGTCGTCATGATAGTCGACCGCAATAGTTCGCATAATTAAATGTTATGATTTTTCTAGCACGCGCATCACTCTTGAGCATTTTCGCACACAGACTACACATGAAGTCTCACGCGAAATAAGTTATGGGTTGAAACACTCGCAAAGGGACTATGTGCAACTTGAATATTCTCTTGCATACGACCGTTTTAGTCAACGTCAGTATGTGTTTGGTCTAGGTCAAGGTCTATGAACATTTACACATTCACGCTCGTACGACAATTTGTTTTTTTTGTTTAAAAGTTATATTGGCGGAACGATCAACTTCCGGGTATAAGGGTTAGTGCGTTGCTGGTGGTTCGCCATACAACTCACCACCACTTCAAGTTCCCTTCTGCCCTCAGTGCCATCCTACCCTACCCCATCATGGTGTACAACAAGGTGCAAAAAATGGAAGGGTGCTTAGTCCGCTTTTACGCTCACTAAAGGATTTAGTGCGTGCGTCAGTCGACACCTTAGTGTCGAATGAGACCCAATGTTTTAGAGGGGACCGCATGATTATGGGCACTACATAGTACCTCATCAACGCGATTGCACACGAGTTTTTGCATGGCTAAGTCAATATAGCAAAAACTTGCACCACAATGACCATTTTATGTGAAGCCTCGCACGTGGTGCCTGCACGCTAAAAAACAAGAAGAGTTACGGGTCGAGTGGAAAAAAAAGTGTAGACGCGATATTGTAGGTAGACTTAAGTTTTAGTCAAATAGTGTATCGCGTGGTTAAAATGGTTGTCTTAGTCGAAAGGTGTAGGATAACGTTTGAGAGATCAGCGCCTCGAGGCATGGTTTGCGGGAGGATCCGATTCGAGCTTAACCACACGTACCCCCTATGCTACAGAGAAAGAGAAACGCCCTAGGCTGGGCCACCTCTGTGATTGCATACGAAAAAACTTCACATGTGGTCCGATAGCTCGACGGGGATACACCTACCCAAGGGATGGTGACAACTCTTGCATGTGGAGGTAAGTTGTGCCTCCATGACCCTATCTTATCATAGCGGCTCGCGAGAGATACGGCTGGCGCACTCGGTCGGAGCGGCAAGTACTCTCCGTGACAAGTCCAGCAAAATCCTGAGTGACATAGCCGGGAGGGTCCCACTGAGGGGACCGATGCGCTCGACAATACGTCCCTGCGATCTTACTAATGAGGGAGTACAACTGCTAATTTTCGGATGTTGGCATGCATTCCGACTCAATAAGTCCCTTTCGGATGTCGATACGCCTCCGGACTCAACAATTTCCTATAGCTCATCGGTTTGGTCTAAATAACTTTCGATAAATATTTCAATCTCAATAACTCATTTTTTCCAAACAAATCGTGCAAACAGTCAGACGACGTCTGATATTAATAATCCCTAGCAGGTACCCTTATAAGGGTTTAAACTCCGACAATACTTGCAAGGCAACTTGGGGGACGACTCTAAGGCTTATTGCATTGCGAACTCATGTTGTAAGGTGAAATCAATGAAACACTAACGATGCTAACTTTAACTGTACTCATCGGATGTGCAAGAATCAGTGAAATTTTGTTTATAATAAAGACATTGTCGATAATGACAGATGTAATGGATATTAGAGTTATAAGGATATGGATACTCAAGCAAGGACGTCAAGGAGATTCAATTTCGTTATACGGAGAGATTGGTTTGGTTATATTGAGAAGTTCAACAAGTGCAAACAGACAACCAATGAAAAAAATATAACGGAATCACTTGAGGTCATCATCAGTCGGGATTTGTTGTGATGACAAAAGCTCAACCAAGGACGCCAAAACACTATTGCCATTCAATGAGTAAGGTGCAACAGTCCTTAACAAGAGCAAACGATGGCCTTCTGATAATCCATACTAAAACTTGAGGATCAACAGCGGAGGGGGCGTTCAAACCGTTTTCCAACGCGTCTCCTTCGCGACAGTAACATGTGAGACCATAACGTCAACAAACTTCATAACATTTATATCCCCAGTGGCGAACAATGACCACAATTAATACTATCAATGGACACGTAAAAAAAAAACAATAAAGTGAAAAATCGTCGTGGGTCATGCGCTACAATTAACGTAGTGTTATGGATTTAAACATACGACGGTTCGTTATCCTACATAGATGGAGTTTGTATGATTACGTTATAACCAAATTGCCCTTGGGAACTGCATTGTCAATTAACACCGTTGATGACGATATATATGGGATGCATTGCTGAAGTGGAACTACGTCGTGAGTTGCACACCACACTTCATGTTGGCTGCTGGATTTGACCCTGACAACCCTTCGTTGTCCTACGTCCATACCCTTACGATATTTATCGTGCCCATGCATTCTGCACGTTGACTGTATGAGAACTGGACCCGCTACCTCACGCGAATCAGTGGGCATTACTGACTATTAGCTTCACTGCAAACCACTAGAAAGTGGATGCCCCCTGTGTGCAAATACAAGTATAACACACATACCAAATTTCCAAACAGGCACCTGCAAGACGGTCCGCCTTTATGTGACTAAGCCGCCGCAACCCTGACCTTTTAGCCGGATAATGACATGAAACCTGCCCTTAAACATGACCACACGGCGACGAATACCACCAATAAAAAATCCAACAGTCCCACATTTCATCCTCCAACCTAAGGAGGTCATCACGCCTCAAAGAAATCATACCGCCGAAGGAAGTGGAACATTTCCCCGCACGACACCCGGTCTCACTGTGGTGGTCAACTATCATGTGCAGAAGTAGGTGGGACTTGCCCCAGAGTAGTTGCGGGGAATAGTCCTTAGGCTAGTATCCCAACTGCAGGAGTCCCAAGGAAAAGCAACCGCGTATAACTGTTGAAGTGACCCTAGGCGACCGGGTAGGGTAGACCTGACCCAGATAATTGAGAAAATTGAAGTAGACCTGGCCCAGATAATTAAGAAATGTTTTACTCGGTCCTTTGGATCTGAACACGACCTTGGAGCCCGAGAGTTCAAGGTGAGCGATGCTCGTTGATCATTATTATTATTTTTTACTTATTTATTTTTAACTATACTATATTCTTCTCTCAAATTTCTTTTTTGCCTTACACTACCTACCTACCACTACTGCTTAAACCACCAGTACCTCGCTCAGCTATTGAATCCGAGCCTCCCAGCACGCTGCGCACCAAGTCCTGCCGAACCGCCGTCGCAATTTTCTTTTTCGTTTTGCCTGCGGCCTCCAGCCAATGCGGTCCGGCAGGCCGAAGCCCAAATGGCGCGGCGCGTATACGGGAAGCGCCGCGGCCGATAGCTGGGCCAGGTAGAGGGGACCCCTGCAAGCATAGCTACCTCACAATGTGAAGGGATCACTGCATGTTTCGTCCCTCGGCCCAACAGCGGTAGTCAGAGATGGGGTGGGGCCGCTGGTGGGGGTCCGGCTAATGCAACGACCAAGCATTTTGCCAGTAGCTGCGCCTCCCTTTTCATCGTCCCCCACCGCCAATTGAATAGCAGTAGTGTCTAAGGCCAACGCTCTCCCACACACCACACACACCTCGCTCACACTCGCGCTCACAGCCGTGTTGGCCAAAGCCCCTTCTGATACCGATAACAAGTACCCAACAGACTGTCACAGCTGATTGGCGCTAAGTGCGCCGCAGGCGGTTGTGGGCCTCGAACTCACAACCTCCTGAATGCCACTTCCGTGCCCAACCAACTGAGCTAGGCCGCTGGATGTCGGTCGTTTCCACCCACAGAACACAATGACTATCGATTTTTGCCAAGATTACACCATCACGGACTGTGAGAAACTGACCGTTGATCTTCATCTACGGCCGTGTTTCTTAACCCCTGCTACTGGAATCTCCTGATGAATCGCACGGTTACCCAGTATCTGCGTTGGCAGGGTCGTCGAGGCAGGATGCGGGCCTTCAGGGCTGAGGTCCCACTGACCCGGAATCCTTCGCTCCCGACCATAGATCGCTGACACTGACATCGATGGCTAGAACTAGAACGAAAGGGCTGTTGTCCGCTCCCCCCATTGAGAAGAAATCTTCGCCGTCTTGTCTGGCTTTGCGCTTTGCGCGCCTTTCGGTCTGATGCGCGAAGGGTTCGTTCCGCTGGGACTTCTGTGGAACAGCATCCCTCTCTTCTCGTCTGGTGGGACTACCGTACCGTAGTACCGTAGTGGAACGCCGTCCCTGTCTTCGCGTCGTTTCGTTTTGCGTCTTCTGTGCCGCGAGTAGCCACTCTGGCCGCTTCGCCGCCTCGCTGTCGTACGTACCCAACACAAACCCTGAAAAATGCCGAGTGCATCTTCACAGAGGAAGTGGCAAGATACCCCCACCACACCACTGCACTGCGCTGTGGAAGTACTCACGGGGCGGGGGGTATCTTGGCGCGTACTATCTGAATATGCGCGCGCCATTTTTCACTTCACGTGTCGTGGGGCGCAATGCGGCGAGGCGCTCGGTCGGTCCGCGAGTTGCTCGGCCCTGCCACGGTCCGTCCTCACTCATACGGCCTCTTTTCCCGTCCCCTGGGGGCGAGGGTTCGAAGTCCTTTTATTCTTTAGTTGTTCTGAGTGGTTCTTATCGCTTGTGGTTGCTTGGTCTGGCGTTCTCTGGCTTGTTGAGGGGGCAAAGTGACGGAGGTTCTGGTTTTGCCCGGCGGTTTCTTCCGAGCTATTTGTGAACTCTTGCTGTGTGTTTGTTATCGAGTTCCCTTTATGTAATCCATATCCGGGTGCGCATTGCCATCTTCGTTTGACTTCGGAGGTGATTGAATTGAACCGGTTAGTAGAGTGAGTGGGCTTTTTTGTGCGGTTGGACCGTCGGAGCGAAGAAGACAGCGAGGGACAAGCGTAGTCATCGTCGTACGCGTGCGGTTGATTGATTGGTAGGGATGGACAGAGGAAAGAGCAGTGGTGGGGGGCAGAGTTCGTTAGGCTACTTGTTCGGTGGCGGAGAGCCGAACAGCCGTGGAGCCGCGCGGTCGAGCGCGCCTCCGGCGGAAAGACCGACGCCTGTCGCAGCAGTGGCGCCGACTCCAGCGCCTGTTGCTCAGTCCGTGGCCAAAGAGGCGTCTCCAAGGACGCAGCCGGCTTCTGGCACCTCACTAGAAATGGGAGGGAAGCTCGGTAGAAGCAACAATAACTACTTCCGTGCTGATGGACAGAACTCAGGCAATTTTATCACGGTATGTACCTTTCTCTCTCTCTCCCCCCTCTCTCTCCCCCCTAATGCATGCATATGTTTTTGGTTTTTACGTATTTCATTTGTGTCTATGTATGTACGTGTATTATGTTTCGTTTGTACGGATTTACATTTGCCTGATGTATGGATGTGTTTGTATTGTGTTGTTGTCACGGGCGATTTGTTTGTAGGGGAAGGGAACGTCTGTCTGACCTCTCGTTTTTTCTCCTTTTTTCGCGCCGATGATGCGAAAAGGTCATGTGTCCCTCTGTTCTTGACCGTCGGTCTGTAAACGAGGAAGATGTACGTCGTCCTTGTTCTTCGTTCCTGTTGTGGGAGAATCCCGCCCACCACCTTTGTCGTTTCTTTCAGTTTTTTGTCGTTTTGTGGAAGAGGTTCTCTCATTTTCCTTGGTTCGCGTACTTGTGTCACCGTATGAACGATTGAAGCTCCCTGTGTTTCGGCATCTCTCTCTCTGTCTTTTTCATTTGCTGTTTTGTCATTGGCTACCTCTCGTTTCAGGGGGAAGTGTGCAACAGGAAGACTTGAAGCTCCGTGTTTCGACATCTCTCTCTCTTTTTCATTTACCCTTTTGTCACTAGCTACCTCTCGTTTTCAGGGAAAGTGTGAATCAGGAAGAACTGCTCGATTTGCCGTGTGTTGTTGTTGTCCGGGATGCTTGGAGTTCGCTTAGTGTAATCGTGCGCCGTTTTCCATGGGCTCTCATGGAGTAGTGGGGGGTCTCTGTTTATGAGTAGGGTTACGCATCGTTTGTCCTGAACGTTGGGTCTGTTACCTGGTGGGCGGAGGCGGCGAGAGGGGGGGTATTCTTCGACGTATCGCCTGAGCTTTTGGTAGGTAAAACGGAATGTGAAAGATGGAAGCGTTTGTGTGCTGTGAGTGGGCTTGTGAATATGGTCAGAGGGTGAATCGCGACGATTGGGATGTTGATCATCCGAATTTCATCGAAGACGAGGATGAAGGGGCGCATGAGCGAACGACTTCAATGTTGGGGAAAGTCATTTCTTTGCTTGGCCGGGAACCTGCGAGTGCTCTTGTCATGCGCATACACTCACACGCACACACACACACGTACACAGACGCATAGAGGGGGAGAGAGAGAGAGGGCTTAAGTTTGTGTCCCGAGGACGACACTCGCACAACCGTGATTATGCATTGGCGTTCTTTTTCGGAAAAGTTGGGGCAGTTGTCATGCGCATACACTCACACGCACACACACACACACACACACACACACGTACACAGACGCATAGAGAGAGAGAGAGAGATAGGACTTGAGTTTGTGTCCCGAGGACGACACTCGCACAACCGCGATTGTGCATTGGCGTTCACACACACACACACACACGTACACAGACGCACAGAGAGAGAGAGAGAGAGAGAGAGAGAGAGAGAGAGAGAGAGAGAGAGCAACCGTGATTATGGATTGGCGTTCTTTTTCGGAAAAGTTGGGGGAGGGGAGAGCCGGGAGCGGCTGGTGGAAGAGAAGGGGGGAGGGAGAGAGAGAGAGGGAGAGGGGGGGAGAGAGAGAGAGAGAGAGAGAGAGAGAGAGAGAGAGGAACSSTGAKWATGCATTGGCGTTCTTTTTCGGAAAAGTTGGGGGAGGGGAGAGCCGGGAGCGGCTGGTGGAAGAGAAGGGGGGAGGGAGAGAGAGAGAGAGGGAGAGGGGGGAAGAGAGAGAGAGAGAGAGAGAGAGAGAGAGAGAGAGAGAGAGAGAGAGAGAAGCTATGTTCTTGCCTGTGCGGCGTTTATGTATCAGGACCGTGGATGGGCGCTCGTTGCTGGCGAACGGAGGGAGATATAGGAGCGGATGGAGGACGGGGGCAAAAGAATCCGGAGGCGTAGAAAGGAGAAAAAGAGGGAAAAGACAACAGATGTAAGAATAGGAAGAGAGCGGTGGAGGGAAGGACGTGAGGGAACCGACGGAACAGAACGTTTCCACATCATGGATGGGTATTGACGATCGTGCAGGCGAGTTTACTGATGTCAGGATGTTCATGAGAAGCCTGGTGAATATGAATCACAGACACAAGGTGGGTAGAGTACGATACGTATGGGGCGTCGTGTCCGAGAGCATAAGCTAACACCCGTATGCTGTGGTTAATGTTGAGCGAAGCGGGATAGATATGGGGCGCCGTGTCGGAGAGCATAAGCGAACACCCCTATGCTAATGTTGAGGGATAGATATGGGCCGCCATGTTGTAGAGCGTAAGCGAACACCCATATGCTAATGTTGAGCGAGGTATAGGGAGGGCATTGTCTTCAAAAGTGTCAAATCTGGCTCGAATGGGCAGAACGAACTGGAGATTTTAGCCTGTGTGACGCCCTAAGGACTTTTAATCCGTCTAACAGCTTGCTTAGCATGAACCACGGCATCAAAGGTTGTTTATGATCTCAAATACAGCGCCATATCTATGATCTTACACGTTGCCATGACGTCTTCAGTGACATTCAGTCTGTTCATTTCACTTCTACTTCTGCTGGAAGTCGACGCTCTCAGGCTGGTTGGAACGGGCAGAATGATTTTCTAGCGCAAGGTCCGCTTCTTCAGGCCATGTCTATCTATCGCGTTCCTTTCTACCCTTGTTGTGATCAGGACCATCGTTTTCTCTAACAGTCCTGTAGTTCTGTATAGTTCAGGGCTGGGCCCGCGTTCTTTTCCACATCGGTCGTCTTTGTGGTTTCTTTCTCGTCCTCTTCCTCGTCAATGTACTCCTTGTTACGTCGGTATTTTTCACTAATTGGTTCGCAGTGTGCTGAACACTGCAATATGAGTGGTTCCTTGTTTTGAATGGTAAACAGCGATGGACGATTGGTACTCAACTGCTGGATTAAATTTCAATGATTGCCTAGTTGAGTTAAATTTCAATGATTGCCTTGTTGATGTTATACAGTATGAATGGTTTTCGCTGTGAATAGTAAACAGCGGTGGACGATTGGTGCTCGACTGCTGAGTTTTCAATGATTGCTTCGTCAATGTTATACGGATATGATTGGTATGTGCCCGTCCAGCAATTTGGGTGCGAATAGTGGTGGACGATTGGTGCTCAACTGCTGAGCTTTCAATGATTGCTTAGTCAATGTTATATGGACACGATTGGTATGTGACCGTACAGCAATTTGGGTGACGGGCAACCGGGCTCCGGCTGTAGTATGGATGATTGATGTCCGACTGGGGATATGGAGATCTTGTGGTTTGTTTTAGATCTGCCTGTGTACGCCGGCGGGAGATGGAGTGAGCGGTGTCGTTACGGCAGTCCGCTTTCTCTCTCCGAATTCTTTCTTTCCCCGTAACGACACCACGCCCTTTCTATGTATGTTTATGGATATGATATTGCACTGAGGCACAGCGTGAACTGAAATCCCCCCTATGGATATGAACAGCGTGAACTGAGATCCTCAATATATGTCCGGTCGTTCGTATATGTGGCGGTCGTTTATACGTCGTATATATATCGTCATACGTCCTTGCATATATATTCTGTACTGGTGTATATGTATGTATGTACGTGTGTGTGTATGTGTACATGTATGTGTATTTCAGTGTGCCGAAGTAGTGTCGTTCAGCCCCTACTTTTGTCGCAATCTTCTTTCTTATTGTCATATGGAAAAGTATGCGTATACGTGGTTGTTGTTTTTGCTGCTCCTTTCTCTAATCAGCTCCTCGAGGTGGCGGTTTGTTCGTGATAGTAAGCACAATCATATCGATCGCTGGGCCTGTGCGGTGTTCATGGGATTTGACGACTCGGCTTTGTTCGGTCTTGTTGGGCTGCGGCTGAAGAATTTGTAAGCTCTGGAGATGATGATTACCCGTCCGACAAGGACGTCGGATTATTCGTTACGATTGATTGGGTGTATAGACTCGAATTTACCCTCTCGGAACTCAACAGCTGTCCCGTTTCTCGGCATGTCCGACACTCTGAGCGCTCTTAACGCACTGACGATTTCGCAGACGACTATGGCCGACACCGCTTAGTACTCGACCAATGACTTGTTTCTCTGAAGTGTCCTGTGCCTTGGAATAAGCGTGACTGTCCATTCGGTTATCTGTTTACCCAGCCCTCTTAACGCACTCCTGAAATTGTGCTCTCCTTCCCGTTTCGGTTTCCATGGATTTCTTAGACGCCGTTATATGCGATCATCCCGTTCTTTTGTTAACCTTCTCGACCTCGTGGATTGGTAGCAATTGCTCAATATCGTGGATATTCATCATCATCAGCAGCAAAAGTGATAAGGTTGATTAGTATTATTTGTATTAGCTTTTGCTTTGTTTCCGAGAAGTTTGTACGGAAGTCTATAGCACACGCTTCCTTCCTGCTTTCTTAGCAATTTTTTCGATATCATCGGTGTTTCATCATCATCATCAGCCTATAGCACACGCTTCCTTCCTGTTTTCTTAGCAGTTTTTTTCGATTTCATCGATGTTTCATCATCATCATCAGCCTACAGCACACGCTTCCTTCCTGCTTTCTTAGCAGTTCTTTTCGATATCATCGATGTTTCATCATCATCATCAGCCTATAGCACACGTTTCCTTCCTGCTTTCTTAGCAGTTTTTTTGGATATCATCGATGTTTCATCGTCATCATCAGCAAAAGTGAGAAGGGTGCTGATTAGTATTATTGGTATAGCCTTTGCTTTTTGTCCGAGAAGTTTGTACGGAAGTCTATAGCACACGTTTCCTTTCTGCTTATCTCATTTGGATTTGTACCGAACGCTTCCTTTCTGCTTATCTCATTTAGATGAATCCGTTAGATGTACCGAACGCCATTGTGTTGGGTATCTAATCAGTTTGTTTGCGGTGTTTTTTTAATTAATTTGTTTGCGATCTTGGTAGTTGTTGCTAGAAGAGATGCTCATGGTTTGTATGCCAGACCTTCATGATTGCGCACGTTGTTAACGAGGGTATGGTATTTCTTCGGTGCTTCATTGCGGGCTACGTCTCCAGTTTTTCCCTCCTACTCCCGTACCGTTCCCTTTTTCACCCTTTCCGTCGTTGGCTCTCGCAAGAAAGCCTATGTCCGTGAGACAAATCCCTCGACTAAGGGCCTCAAATTCTTGTAGGCGTGTGTTTGGGGTTACTGCGTCTTTTCACCCTTTTCCATCGTCTGCTCTCGCAAGGATCGAGCCTTCTTCCAGTGAAGTCGTTGGGGTCACTATATAGAATTGACTAAGTGTTTGGATTCTACTTGTCAACTCTCTGAGTGTACTATGTATATAGAATGCTTGTCAAGTCTCTGAGTGTACTATGTATATAGAATGCGGACCTGGCGGTTGTGGGGAGTGGGGATGAAGAGAGGAAAAGCGGAGGATTTTGTCGTGATCTGAAAAACATTCTCTGCATGTGTTATGTGCGGTGGCATTGGTTTGTAGAATTCGAGCTTTCTGTGCGACTGAAGGTCGCCACTGTAGAAGTCTGGACTATCGCCTCGGGACGCAACGACGGGATCATAAAGAACGTTCGGTCGTTGTAAAATGGCTTGTAAATTCTGAGTTTTGGGTATTTGATTTTCAGTTACCTTGGTTATGTCCCTCCGACTGAGTGACGCTCCTTGTAAAATGGCGTCTAAATTCTATTTTTTGGGTATTTGATTTTCAGTTTCGTGGGTTATGTCCCTCCAAAACGTGTGACTCGAGCAGGGACCAAGTGACTCGAGCAAAATATAATGATAATGAATGCTCTGGTGCGGACGATCAGAAGGGAAGTCGTGTGTTGTTGATACATGCGCTGCGCCCCTCTACGACTACACGCCAGACATCCTTGCTTTGGATGATGATGTAGTCTGAACTTAGCGGCGACACGATGGAGGAAGGCTTCGGTTGAAATGATGTTCGAAGTTTATTTCAATTAGTAATAGAATGTCGCATACTCCATTTTACGCGAGTGTTTTGTGAGATCGTGCTACTTAAAAGAGGGCGGCTGATCTGCTGAACAGGCAGGGCTTTCTTGTTTTTTATAGCAGCCAGGGCTTTCTTGTTTTTTATTAGTGACCGGTTGTTTAGTTCTGTTCTCGAAATTTGATTCGAGTATGTGATGGGGTTTGGGATGTTGTCCGTAAACTGATGGAGAATGTCATCTGTCTTTGTAAAGTGGGAATCTTCCCCCGAACATAATGCATATGCGTTGTAAGTGAATACTACACCGTATGGTTGCTTTCTATTTGAATACAACGCATATGCATTCTAACGCATATGCGTTGGTTTCGAATACAATGCATAGCATTGTAAATGAATACGATACCTAGTTTGCTTTCTGTTCGAATGCAACTCGTATTCGTGCTGTTCGAACAACCCTTTATTCGAAATACTACGCATATGCGTTTGATTCTAGTCATAATTGTTTTTTCGGAAACTCGAAAATAACGCATATGCGCTATGTTCGGGGGAAGACGGGTAGGTGCGCTATTTGTAGTCTTTGTTGTTGCCCTTGGTTTCTTGATGGTAATCGAAAAGTATTTTGGAATGTCTGTAACTCGTTTAGAATGTCAGTCTTTTCTCGTTTAGAATGTATTTTGTGAAATGGGGGTGGCATCTCGTTTAGAATGTTGTTTTTAGTCTCTGTTTCAACCGTTTTAATGAAATGGGGGGGGTCTCATATTGGTTTTTTGGTAGCCCTTCTGTTCTTGAAGGTTATCAGTCGAGTGTGTACCGAACAGAACAAGCTTTTGGGTAGGTGGATATGTATAGGTTGAATGAATGCACGTTCTCTACAGGAAGTACTGGCCGTTGCAGTTCGTTCTTGATACGAAAAGGAACTTCTAGCGGCACTAGACTTAAAGCGGGTGTGCTGTTGTAATTTTGCAACTGCTGCTGGCTTGATTGGTTGGTTGCTTGCTTGCTTGCTTGATTGGTTGCTTGCTTGCTTGCTTGCTTTGCTTGATTTGTTGTTGCTGGACTGGATGGTTGCTTGAGTGTTGATTTGACTGTTGATGGTAGAAGCAATTGATTGGGTGATCGAGTCGTTGGCCTTTCCTGTGTTGTTGAGTGGTGGCTACTGATGTCACTCTTACCGGCTGATTCTTTTATGCAGTCTTGATTTGAAGTTCATAGGACGAGGAACGAAGTTTGGCGAACAAAAACAGCTTTAGTTTTAAGCTGTCTAGATGTCTCATGTGGTGGGCTTTATCTGTTCTTTTTGTTGTATTGCAGGACCGCCCAACAGCTTTAGTTTTAAGCTGTCTAGATGTTGCATGTAGTGGGCTTTTCTTGACTCGTTGATCTGTTCTTTTTGTTGTATTGCAGGACCGCCCTTCCACAAGGGTTCATTCGGCCCCTGGCGGGGGTTCTTCTCTTGGGTACTTGTTCGGCGGTTAAATGGACATCTCGATGTGCCTACGTGTGGTGTTTGGATGCGCACATTCTCTCTTTATATCCGGCTAGTCCTCGTTGGTGAACTTTTGTCATGCCTGTGGCTCCTGGGGCCTGTTTCGTTAGGCACTTTGTTAAGCGAGAGCCCTTTGGTAGAAGTACCTAGGGAGTGTTGTGTGGCGGAGGTGGTGTTTACGGGTTGTCAGGATCTCGCTTTCAAGCTGGTTATCTGCTGAAGGCTTTGAACACTTTTGGGCATAGATTCATTGTGCAAGGTGCTTTCTGGCTGTCCAGGGTGGGGAGAGAGGGAGGGGAGGGATGTTGTATTGCCAGATTTGCACGCTTGACCTGTATTCGGGTTCTGATCCTGATTGGAGCTCTCTGTGTCATGGAGACGAGCCTGTCAGAATGAGAATGTGCGGCCAGACGACGAGAGAGTCTCTGAAGTAAGGGGGGGTTTCCATGAGGTGGTGTTTGCGTGGAGGGCTCCTACGATTGAACGAGCTCTCTTTTAATCGCCTTGGGGTGTGTGTGCAAACATTTCAAGAAAATTGTGAATTGCCTGGTCTACTCCGGACCGACCTGATGTGGATGAAGTCGATCTGAAGATCTGGTCGTTGTGCGTTATGGTGCAATCACTTGGGGATGTGGATTCGGATCGTTGTTCAGGGTCTGGACTCGGGGGGAGTGTTTTTCAGTTTCTTCTGGGAATCAGGGGGCTGAGGAGTTAATTTTTTTTCGATGGGAGCCCTGTTTATTGGGGGGGTGAGGAAGGCCCCTGCTCTATGAACCCATGCCTACACATTTGTTGGCTCTTCTTTTTTTTCTTTTTCCCTCTTATGGTTTTAGTCTATTAGATTATGGAGTGTTTCTCACAGGTGAGCATCATTCTGTACAGTCGAGTAGTAGAGTCCCCTATCTGTACTATGATAAATGGGAGTGAAGAGGAGGTGGAGACAGCGAAGTCAAGGAGTAAGAGACAGCCAAGTAGAACCTAATCAATGTCCCTTTGCACTCGCAGGAACGATAGCGCAGTGGAAACATGGTGTCGAATGAAGTTTGGAGGGGGGAGAGAGAGAGAGAGAGAGAGAGGAACGACTCTCTTTTGTCGTTGTGTTCGTCTGCATAGCTGCGATTTGACTCGCTGATAGATTGTCTGTCTATATTCTCAGGTGATGAGGGGCTGAATGCTATTTTCGTACTCTCTCTCAAATCAGAAGGCCAGCTGGTTTGGCGGTCCTCTTGAGGTCCACAATGTCCCAAGACCTCTGTATCTGCTCATTGAATCGAATTTGGGCTTTTGGCACTTTGTTTTTCTCGCATAAAATCTCTCTTTTTGATGTTTGCTGTCATTCCATTTTGTGATGCTTGCGTGTTTTGGTCCCAGAATCCCTTTCCCGGATGAGGGAAACGGGATGAATGTCGTCCAGGTGGGCGTCCAGGTGGGTTTCATCTGGAACTCAGGTTCTGAAGGTGCCGCCGCCGAATTGCCTCAGTAACCGTCTCGTTTATATTTTTGGAGTGTATAGGCCTCCTTGTCCTTCTTTCTTGAGATCAAATGCGTCTTTGTCCCTCTTTTATTTAAGATCAAATGCGTCTTGAAGTCGCGGAATTGACTTACCCTGCGCAGCCCGTAGTTCGTTTGTTTATGTGGTTCGGGAAGGGTAAGGTATTGCGTGTGTATGCTGTATATGCGTGTGTGTGTGTGTGTATGTGTGTGTGTGTGTGTGAGAGAGAGAGAGAGAGAGAGAGAGAGAGAGGGAGTGTGTGTGTGCGTGCGTGTGTGTGTGTGTGTGTGTGAGAGAGAGAGAGAGACCTGCAGCATGCAACATGTCAGTGGCGGGGAGCAAGAGGGCAGGCGCTGACCTCCAACAAAAAGAAGTAATTTTATCGGAATATATGAGTTTTTTCTTTTCGAAATCCGAACAGAAAGGGTACAGGTATTCGAATACCTGCACATTTTCTATTCGAGGAAACTGTGGTATTCGAGAAAAAGTGCACCTGCACCGTTTCAATTTCGAAAAAGGCTCAAGGACCCCGGCCTCCTCAGCCTCCTCCGGGCAGCTACCGGTCCTACGCGGTCCTGGCCCTTGCAAGGCCCCAAAAACTCAAAATGCCCACCCTCCCGACTATCACCGACGTTGAAATTTCGATTGACGTTGAAATGTCTCGGGGGGGAAAACGCAACCCTGACGGGCTGCGAACAGCGTAAAATTGGGTTGCTCGTGCATGTTGTTTGTTTTTAGACGGGTAGTAGAACAACAGAAAAATTGTTTTCTTCTGCACATTGTTTGTTGTGGATGGGGTTTCTGCTTCCCTCTGTGATAAAGGCTGTGTGGCGTTTGCTGAGCAGCAGAGCTTCACAAAATGGGGCCTCGGTCCACTGCTCTCGAAATGTGCGAAGCAGAGATTGAATCCTCTAATCCTCTGCCAGACGTCTTTTGTCTTTTGTGCATGTCGAGAGTAGAGTGGAGCGAGGCCCACTGGGTTGTGTGTGCTATATAGCTTGTCAGCTTCTGGGATGACATTGGGAAGGCACTGATGTGGTTCTTGTACACGTCATCAAGGCCACTGCCTGATTACTGACTGTGCTGGTGTACAGGGTATGCATGTAGTCATCAATTGGCCGTTGTGTTCATCGCAACCCAGCCAACCGATCAGCATGCATTTGTGTCGAAGTCTGTCGACAACCTGTGCCATATATACAATCAGGAATGAGGATCTGGATACTGACCGGAAATGGCTGGCTGTCGGGGAACGTAGAAGATCGGAGTTAGAAAGGGCTGGCCTGTTTTGCATCGTAGGCGTGAAAAGTGTAGGTCGCACAAGCCAGCCAAAAATCGTCCTCAATATGGCAAGGAGAATCTGAGGTGAACATTCTGCTCTGCCATGTTCCCCCTCTCATTCTAGGGGCTGTTGCGCTCTGCTCGATATTTATTTTTGTCGCAGCTGTAACTTTTTTGTAAGCGTGAGGAGTGGAGAGATTGTGTGGTCCTAAGCGCGCGTCCAGATATTTAAAATGCTCGTTCGACCGTGCATTTTGTCGGTTGAAATTCGTGGTCCAGAGTGTGTGCATTTCGTTTGGCCGTTAGAATGACAGAATGTATAACAACTGCGATCCGGTCTTGATGCATGCAGGAGTGTCAGACGCTGGTCATACTTGTGTGTCTGTGCAGAGGCCGGACGGAATTTCGGGAGCTTGACTTGGGTAGGGGGCCACATATGGTACTACGGGGGAGGACAGCGTGAAACGTGTTTCTGAGTGTAAGTGTGGGACTCTTGAATGGGGGCCGTCGGGTTTTTTGTGAGAATAATTGGATTACTGTGGAACATCAGGGAGAGGGGTAGGGTGTTGCTGGGCACATGAGGCCTGCTGATGAACAATTATCAACCCCCCCCCCCCCCCCCCCCCCCCCCCC